ATTCGCGAAGCTGAAGAGGCGAAAAGACTACACACCAGTGATGAGTTTGCTGGGTTTGGATCTGCGGCGACCGATCCGACCCGCCGTGGAGGGCTGATGGACCTTCTCAAAACCGGCGGCGAAACCAAGGGAGTCAAGCTACTGAAGAAGATGGGTTGGCGAGAGGGTCAGGGGATCGGTCCCAAAGTACGACGAAAAGCCAATCTTGGCGACGGCGCTGCCCCCGGCGGAAACGAAGCCGATAAGGCGTACCTCTTCGCGCCGGAGGATTCGCCCATGATTGCATTTGTCCATAAGACGGATCACAAGGGGCTTGGGTTTGAAGGTGAAAGCCGGCTGGATTCTCACAAAGCTGGCGCCGACGAGTCTGATGAAGATGATTTCTTTGGACGACGGTTGACGTCCGGGAGCCAACGAAAACCATCGAAGACGAAAGAGCAACCTAGGCGCAGCGCATTTGGCGTCGGGGTGTTGAACGACACAGGTTCAGACGACGAAGATCCGTACTCTCTTGGTCCACAAATCTCGTACAATCGGGTCATCGGGGGTGACAAGAAAAAGAAGAAGAAAAAGTCTATGGATGAGTCTAAGCCGGCACTTGTTGCGTCTAATCCTCTGGTGAACAATAAACCCGTCTTCATATCAAAGAAAACGATCGCTGCAAAATCATCGGCAGGATTTCGGAAATGTCATGACGGCCGCCTCCCGCTGGATGGCTTTCTCTTAGCCTATGGTATTTCCAGCCTCTCAATATCTACACAAGAGAAAAGATACGCGCCTCCAGAAATTCCAAAGGACTGGAAATCAAGCAAAACACAGTCAGCGGCAAGGGATGCTTCGAACTATGTCTCTACGGCGGAGGCGGCCAAAGCTTCTTCGCTCGACCCCACGTCTCGGGCTGCGCTGCTGGGGGAGGCCCAGCTGCCCGGAAAGTCGATTTTTGACTGGATGACCCCTGAGGCTCGCGAAAGAATCGTGAAAATTACCGGGAAAACAGACCTACCACCAGCTTTGGGAGAGAAAGCACCGAAGGGATATGAATTATCGGAATCCCAAAGACGCAAGGATCTGTGGGATCTTGTTCCCAAACTGGACAAACAGCTTGCTGTTCAGGCTCTTACTCGGGCAGTCAGTGGCTGGGTGCCTTATTCGGAAGACCAAGGCAAAAGGACTCGATACCGCACATTCCTTGAGATACGGGCAGGCCTCCGCGATACACTCCCAGACCGAGTGCCAGGCTCGACAACGGATGAATGGGTTGCGGAACTCCACGAGTTTGCTCGAGCTGCGGAGGTGTTCAAGCCAGTGTCTGGGGTGATGGCTTCGCGCTTCACTTCAGCCTCTACGGGGCCCAAGGTATCGTCCGATCAACCGGAATCATCTACGTCGACAGAACCGCTACTCCGGAAACCTGCCGAGAAGCCTGAGGACCCGGCTGTGGCCGCGGCCAAGATCGGCATGTTTGGCCCGATGACTCGGAGCACTCACAGCTTCTATCCCGCACGACTGCTTTGCAAACGGCTGAATGTCAAGCCACCGGATCATGTGCAGCTCGACCCGGGAGAGCAGCCAGGGGGTTCCGAGGCTGCTATTGGCAATCGATTCCAGTCTGCTGGATACCAGGCAGCATCCGGGCCTAAAGAGCTGGTGTCGAAGGATGTGATGGCCCAGCTCATGCTCGAAGCTAGCGGTGGACCACTGACAGCGCGATCCGACACCGCCACGCCTGAACGGGCGACAGTGTCGGAAGTCAAGAAGGAGATAGTGATTGAACCCGAGCGCAACGAAGCACTTGAGGCTGAGAGGCCCGGTGAGGCGGTCTTCAAGGCCATCTTTGGTAGCGACGATGAGGATGAGGAAGCGTGATTCAAATCGGTCAAACACTATTTACCTAGAAGAGAGGCTCGAATATGATAACCACGATGTCTATAAGGGCTGGTTGAACGCATTTGGGCGGCCAAGCTCGAGACGCCTGGTAAATGGAACATACAGTGGAAATGCCACGAAGAAGCGGTCTCCAATAATTCTTAAGCGGATCATCCTTGGTGCTCCGCAAGTAACACTGTGGCTAAGTGCATTAGGATGATCAGACGAGCAGTTACACCGCAGAAGGTTCCGACACACCCTGGATGATTGCGACTAGGTACTTTGCTCTATCAAGATAAGTTGAAACTGGGCAGATTTGAGGGCGGTAATTACAGTGCTATTAATAGAAATTGACAATGTCAAACAACACTTGTTTATTCCATGGTTCCGGTTACTGCCAAACGGTGGTAGATGCTCTGGATGACATGGCCGAATGTTGATAGACCTTTGCAGACAAGCTTTTGATGACTCCATCTCCGTACCAGCTAGCCTCATCGTCTGCTTTTTCCTCCTCCTCATGTCAATGCATGACTGACGGTGATCGAATCCATCAATCCTCTTCTTTCTCCCCCTCTTTCTGCTTCACCTCATCATAGTGAATAAATACCTCTTAGTCACGTACTTTGATTCTCTACATAATTCTCTGGACCAGAAGTACTCTTACTACCACCTTGTACCCGCCGAGTCGTCATCGCCACTACAAACTCAACAGCGAGTCTTACGTTGCCCGCCCCGTTCTCCGATCGACTTACGAACCGTAACCATCTATCGATCTAATAATGAACATGATTGCCCAACCAATACCGAATATCAACATCATTAGCTGCTGATTCTCATCCTTATTGGTGCCATATTTTCCCGCATTCTTTCCCCCTCCTACTCCTCCTCTTCCTCTGCTGTTTGGGAGGTATCTCCGTCCTGTCACTTTCCTTCTCTAACAGAGAGGATATCCCTACTATTTACTTTATCTGGCTGATGGAGTCGGATCGTCCATCGCTTCAGTATGGTGAGTAACATGGAGCATTCTTTCTTTTTTCTTTTCTTTTTTTCTCCTTAGCTTGTTTAGTGTTGCTGTTTGTCGCTGTTCTATTGCGGTATGGTTCTTGGGAATCTGTAGAGTGAAAGCACCTGTCCCTTGTGATTCTTTGCACATCGCTGTTCTCAGTAGCTGTTGATTTCTTCGATCTGGATTACTCTTATCCTCGCGATATTGGAATCATGAGCTAAACGCAGGCCGTCTCATTCCACCATCTCCAGGGTTCTTGCTTGTCCTTCCTGTCGCGTGACAATGGCGATCCCTCCCATGCGACCCAGGTGGTAACGGAGGAGCGCCGCGCGGATACGTCCTCCAATGCTCTCCGCTCGACCACGAATGCGATCGTCTCCAGCTGCCCCTCTACTTCCCTAACCAGGACGACATCTCGCGCAGACCGACACATCGACCGTCGCACCCCAGCGACGACCATCACTCGGTTAGCTCTGAGCGAGCATTTCAACGCCCCAATCCGCCCCCATGTCTGGTACAGCAAGCGGCGCACCTGGTCTCGTGCGCAGCTAGACCAGGAGCGCAAGGAGTTCTTCGAGACCCGCGTCACCGGTCGGGCAGAGGTGTGGGCCGCCTTGGCCGCGGCGATCTCGTTCATGCATGCGAACGACCTGGCCACGGCGCAGAGTATCATCGACGCGGCGGGTGTCACCGTGCCCACGGGGGACCTTTGCCAGGGCTGCTACGATGAGCAGGGCGCCCTCTACCGTCTTCCTCGGTGTATCGTGAGCGACCCGGAGAACATGGTGCCAGAGGACTCGGCCAGTCGCCGTGATGATGGCTACGACGACTTTGACACTGATGATTCAAAGTTGTCGTTGGACGAGGCATCGGGTGACGAGCTGATTGGTGGTGACTCCGCAGACCGCAGGGATGAGAAGGGCAAGATGAGCGAGCGCGACTTGATCCGGGTCACGGCGCGCTTGAGCGACGGGAGCGAATCGGACGTTGTCGTCTCGGTCGGCAAGAACCAGACCGTGGGCTTGATTGCCCGCAGGGTGCAGCAGGAGGCCGGGGTATGTCTTGCTTTTACTGTCCAGCCTTCACATGAGCAATCAGAAGTTTAACGTTGTCTTTGAGCAGATCCCTGCAACCCAGCGGGTAAGAATCGTCTACCTGGGTAGGATGCTCAACGAAAATACACCGCTGGTGGATCAGGGTTGGAAGGCGGGCAATATAATCAATGCCTTGGTTGTCGCCAGGCCTTCAGCCTCATGACAACTGCCCGTTCATGGCACATTACCAGCCCTCGAGAGGCGCTGCAATGACCTCTCGTTTAGACCCGAACCTTCAAGGTCGGGCTAGAACTGATTTCAAACATTACATGACATCTCGCCTTTATGCTGTTACGATCTTTGCAATCTCGTGGCGTCCACTGTTCAGCCGGTTGGCATGATACCCATTCGTCTTGCTTTTTCAGCCTGGTGTCTGTGCTTCATTCCTGTTCTTTATGATATGTCTATCTCCTACTATCCTCAGGTGTGTCATCAGCCTGTTTCTCGACCGTTTTCATTGTCCTTTCCATATATGCAAAAATCTGGTCTGGTAGTATCCGTAATTTAATCAATTTTTTGCTTCATGTTCACTGTCTCTGGCTATGATGTAAACAACATGGGCTATATGTGGCCGGGAATTGTGGGGATGTCTCTCGGGATATATATCCGCAAAACAGTGCCACTGACGGACCCATTTATAATGGCAACTTAATGAGTCCTCGAGATCGATACAGGCAGAAATTCGGCCTAAAATAATTTATTTCATATATCAAAAGGAACTTGAAAAAAATAATTGACGGATACTAAACAGGGGTGAGTGCAAACAAAATAAGAAACAAAAACGAAAGAATAATTTCCATGCATCATCCGTGAATCGAACACGGGCCTCGTCGATGGCAACGACGAATTCTACCACTAGACCAATGATGCTGGCTTACGACTTGGAACCTTAAATGAAACTATGATCCTATTTACTCTACAAAGCACACGAACGACAACCAAGCGACATACTTGGACACCCACATGCATACCGGTCCCAGTTCAAGCAGGAGTCCGAATGATCACTCAAATACAAAAGCAGCAGCAGCAACCGACTAATACAACCTGCCATTCTCCGCCTCCCGTCCCCTAGGCGTCTTCCCAGACCTCCGCTTGAAAACACGACACACGACACCAGCGCCCTTGACGATACCCCTGACCAACGTGGTGGGATTATAATGTTTGACACGGAAGGCGTAGTACAGCAGGACTGTTCCAAAGATGTTGAAGCCGATGTACGCAAAGCCCAAGCCCCAGTTGCGCCAGCGCTCGCTGTAATCTGTTCGTACGGAGGTCAGCATGCACCCGAAGATCCAAGAGAATGAAGGGCATACAGATGTTCGAGCCGGCCAGGTATTGATCGGCATTCTGCAGCTGGCAGTACTCGCAGTTCTGTGTTGCACTAGGGTTGTACAACTGGCTGGCGGCAGCTTGTACGTACGGGGAGAGGTACTGGCTGCAGGTGGACCCCGCGGGTGGGTTGAACACGCTCAGCTCGGCGCTGGCGCATTGGATTGCCCGGCCGTGTAGTCCTGTCGCTGTGATTCCTGCGATTAGATATGTCAGGGGTGACACGCGGTACATGAAGATCCAGAAACCGGGCAGGGCATTTGGTGGCTGCATGACGCCGTTGAAGGTCAGCGCCATGATGAAGAGCAGGGTTGCAATTGTGCCACCGGTTTCTGCATCGGGCAGGGCGGCGATGACCATCGAGGCGAACGTCGAGGTGAAGACGTAGAATTGTACGATGAAGAGTAACATGAGCCCCTGCCGTTGAGACGACTGGTTCGCCCCGTAGGTCGGGTAGTAGTAGCAGGCCCACGCGATGATACCGGTCAGAATCTGCCAGGGTATCTCGACGAGTACGTTGGCTATGAGGAATGCTGCCCAAGAATACGCCTTGGACGGTCGTTCTCGGACTTCATACAGGGACCGTTGCACCACAAATTTGGGCATGATTCTATTTGGTATTAGGAAAATCAAGATGAATTGACAGGAAGCAAGAGTACAAGAGCGAGAAACGATGTTACTTACTGCTGCACCAAAGTCGAAAAGATGGATGTCATCATGAAAGCGCTGAACAATACATCCTGGAAGCCCTGCAGAGAGCTGTCGGGCTTAAAGAAGGTGAAGCCGATGAACAACGATGACAGGGTCCCGAGCAACAGTTTGGCCCAGACGTATGTCGGCTCGCGCCAATATTGCTGTGCACGCAACGCTCCTAGCCCACAATGGGGACAGACGCAATACACTTAGTAATTTGCCTGAGGCCACAACTTTAGACGCTCTGTCGCAAAGCAGGTTTCGCCGCTAGCTCAACGCCGATGGTCAGTAGCTTTCTTCGCTCCACGTTCAATCCTTCGCCAGGTGTACCGACAATAGCATCGGCGAAGTCTTGCATGCTGAGCATTTCAATAATCTCCTCGACATACTGATACTTTTCTTTTTTGGAGACTGATTTTGGCTGCCGAAGGACGGCACTAAAGCGCAGTGCTTCCCTGACAGTGGTTGTAGAGAGATGAAGATCTTGCTGTTGAACATAACCTGTTTTCCTCTGGAAACTGCTATCAAGCGACTTGCCATTCACCAACATGTCTCCTGTGACCACACCAATTGAGACACGCTTCGCCAAGACGTCAAAAAGGGTCGTTTTACCGGCACCAGAGACGCCCATCAAAGGTTTAACCCACCCGGAGACATGATCCAGAAGACGTCTTTGGCCACCCTTAACAGGGATATCATAGCAAACATTACGCCATGTAAAGATATCACGTTGTGTAGGAATGGCAGATACGCCCTTTTCGGATTCCAGAGAGTCATGGGCCATGGATGCTTCTGCGGCCCCGTTCTCTTCCTGATCTTTATCGATGTCACGCAACTGCGGTGGCACATGCCCTCGTCGGAATACCAAGAACTCGGCTTTGGACGAAGTCGCAGAATTGATTTCAGAGGCCGCCAGATATATTACCATGAAGAAAATCCAGAATCCTACCAGGATTCCAAAATTTCTCCACTCATGCGCATAGGTGTAAGTGTATTGACTTTCGATGTACGCGTCGCCAGACACGGTCCTTTCTCCTGCCACAGCACCTCGAACTGAACAGATGAATGAGTTTCCGGTCAGGCTCGGGTAGGCTGGCACGAACTGCGAGCACTCGAACCGTCGACCGTGAAACTCGTTGGCAATCAAAGCCTCAAATGTGTAGAAGACAGGGTTGATCCATCGGATCCAGCTAAACCAGGGAATAGAGGACATCTGAGGAACAGGAATCACGAACCCGGTATAGATTACGATCGCGAGCACGATTACTCCGGCCATAGACATGGCCTGTGCCAGGGTTTTGGTTGAGGCAGCGAGCGTCCGAAAAATACCCGACATTGCAAGCGTGCTGAGGAAGGTGAGAACGAAGAATATGAAGAATTGTATCTCTGCAGCATGGAGTCAGTAAATCACTAAAAAGGAGCTTTCTATCACCTACCAGTCCAGCCAGAAAGTAAAAGATGATATTGAGCACTACGGCAGACACAAACTTGACAGGTATATCTGATACGATCCCACCGAATGCTTCTGTCCACGGATGCACAAAGGCGTACGAGGCTTGCTTTTCAATGATAGGTCGTTGATCGTAGAGAGAGTTGATCTCCGTGATACTGATCAAGGCGTTCATTCTATTGTTCAGTCAGCAAGTGCCCTTAGCAGCAGGCTTGTATAAAACCAAGTCGGCTCAACTCCTCGAACTTCGTTGTCGGACTAAACAATCGAGAAACTCACAAAACAGCAAAGAAAAGGGCCGCGCCCTTGCTTTGGAAGCCTGCTGAGGCGTTGGGTGTCCTGTAAGCATGAGATAGTCTTCAATATGACAGGGTGAGGTAAGAGGTACCCATAGTAGATGGAGCCGATGATCAGAGACATGCAAATACGCCCAATGACTGTTGTCAACGTGGAAGGTTTATCGTTCCAAATCCTAGTCACGATAAGCTTTAGATGGCACAGCGGTTACACGATGTCGAAAGAATGCAATACCTTTGATAGGCCCTGATTGTGCAGAGCTTGATTTGCATGGGAATGGAGATGATATAGGGACTCTTGGGACGGACATGTTTGGCCTGCTTGAACCGCTTCATTTCATGGAAAGCCTGGGCTGACTCTCCACCAGGTGGAAACTCTCTCAAGTGCTCCGCAATCTCTCTCCGAAGCCTTGCAAACTGAGGACTATTCTTCCAATATTTCTCAAAGTCATCAGGGGTGCGAGGAACTTTGTTCTCCATACCCTCACGAGCTTGACGCTCCTGTGGATTCGTGACCGACGTTAAGAAATCGCCAGTAGTTTGACGAGGCGGGCAGTACCAGCCCATATTTACGAAATATTCCTTGGCTTCACTGCAGGGACCAAAGTAGATCTCTCGCCCTTCGTAGAGAACGATGGCTTTGTCAAAAACGTCGTAAATCGCCTGTGATGCCTGGTAGATTGCAACGGCATGGCTCGTACCGACTAGATTGGCGGAGACTCGGAGTGCCTTGACGAACTCCAAGGCGCTTGCAGAGTCAAGACCCCGAGTACTATTGTCCCATGCTCCAACAGGTGCCCCAGAAACTTTGTGCCAGTCAGCCGGGAGGACCAGAAAGGAAAGTAGAATCTGGTACTTACGGGCCATTTCTGCAATGCTGCGACAAGGTCAGCTCCATGTACGTATATGTGGATTTATAGTAATACAAACCTCACACGCTTTCTTTCTCCTCCAGAGACTCCCCTGATGTAGTCATCACCCACTGAAAAGTTATATGATTAACTAATCCTGGTCTCTCGTGGCAGCTTTGAACGCACCTTTAGTGTCATACGTATGAGACAGGCCGAATATAGTCATGGCGACTTGGGTGACATGCTTCGCAAATCGTTGTCGACTTATCCCTCGCAATCTGTGCTCGGGAGTTCGTGCAGCAGCAGCAAACTCTAATGTTTGTCCCACTGTCAGATGGGGAAAGTGTTTATCAACTTCTTGGTTGTATAGGACTTCTCCTTTGAACTCTTTGTGCATCTTCTCCATGGGTATGCCATTGAACTGAATTTCGGAGCCTTTGCGGAGCTTCAATCCGTGTAACTCTCCGCAAAGAGACTTGAGAAAGGTCGAGCAGCCGCTGCCTGGCCGTCCTAAGACAATCAACAGCTCGCCACTCTGTAAAAGGCCATCGAAATTGCGAAGGATCTGTTTTTCAGGACTGCAGCGGGTAAAGCTCAAAAGCTCCCATGGTCTGAAAGGTGCCAACAGGACTGATCCCACAGTGTTTTGATACTGCAAGGCCGAACCTGACCCAGAGACGTTGAGATGCTGGAAGACGATCCCGGTGGACGGTGGCCGCGGGAAACCCTCCTTATCCAGAAGTTTCAGCACCATTCGAACCCATTTATAATGGTCGAACTGATTACTCGTAGGGTCAAGAACTGGATCGTTGAGTTCGAGACCATCAAGGGTGTCCTTGCGTTCAATGCCCGGGCCACTGACTCCAGAATTCGTCGGACGGCGCCTGGGAAAGTTCGACGCAATGCGAGCCAGCTCTGCCCTCTGCTCTGGCGGCATATGCTCGATCACAGTGCTATCAACCCACTCCCGCGTCTGGTCGACTTGTTGATTTTTTTGTCCGGCATCCTGTATAGTCTGATTCACAGATTCCGGCTGGATGGTATCGTCACGGTTTTCACCTTTCTCATTCATGATGACACACTGCATCCACTTGTTTTCAGGAAGTAACGAGATGGCCGTAATAGAGCATCAGGCGTATATCCGTAAAGTGTCCGAGGGCACAAAGCTGAATCACTTAACATATAAGAGTTCAAGGACGAAATCTTCTCCCGAGTCCTCCTGTGATATTGCCAACAATTTAAAACCGAGCCAGGCCTCAAACAAATTCTGGGGAACCGCTTATAGAACCAAAGCCTTGAAGGATCTCAGGGCATCTGGTCTCCAATTCGTCGGTGGAAAGTGGTGATGTCAATAACTTAGGTACCTGTAGATGGGTATCCATGATCCTGGATCGCCAGACCACTCCAGGACCCGCAAAATTGAACACCAAGGGTCAACATAATAATGAATGAGACTCCATCAGCGAATGAGAACGGTTGGACAATTGCAAATCCTGTGACGCGGAAGAGCGAGTGCAGTCATTCTGAATGCGGCCTCGTGTTCAACCTGACTGAAATATGCAGATCCCAAGACACCTTCTAGGCTTTCCTGTGCGGTCAACAAGGATAGTCTAGCATTGCTGGAGTAGAATGAGAACGCAATTAAAGATCGAAATTCTGACTCAGTTAGTTGGCATGCATGCTTAATTGTGGCCCGTAGCCAAGCAGGTGAATAGGAGCACTAAGTAGTATAAAAGAGGGCATCTGATCGCTAATGCTTCTTAATTTTCATTAAGAGATTCATAATCAGTACATCCTTTCTGTATAGGTATGGTGAACAAGGACTCCATACTAGTTGCTGTGACAGATACCTCGTTAGCATGAAGGGAGAGATGATTCCGCCATAGTACAGGACGGTTAGCGGCATGGAACCTGAGGTGTCCACTGGACAAGCACAGTACAATAAGCTTCCTCCAATAAGAGTACTCAGTTCTATCTCCGCCCGAACGAGCTCCACCATAGAAACAAACAGAGCAAACTCAGACAAAAAAATGGCAAAAGAAAAAGAAAAAAAGGTCGAGGCCGCACCGACATTGAAGAAAAGAAAGAATGAGTATACGCCATTGCCATTACACGAGTTGATCCCGTTCCTACTTCTTTCTACATGAATAAATCACAAGCCTAGATTATTAGTCATGACAGATCTGCAAAAAACTCCTTTTGTCAAGGAGCTCGCCTCAAGCGGTATGTCCATGGAGACACTGAACGCTGTATATCTTCACCTTACCAGTCCGAACAAATTAACTGACAAGCCTCTCTTGGAACAGACAGGCGCACACGCGACAAGGCAACAGAATCCCTGACCCTCTTCCTCCGCTCCAAAACCGACCTCACCCTCCTCGACCTCCTCAAGCTCTGGAAAGGCCTCTTCTTCTGTACGTCCTTATCCCCCAACCCAGACTCCAGAAACTACTCAGTCGACTAATTATACCTCAATCGCACAGGCTTCTACCACTCTGACCGTCCCCTCACACAACAAGCACTAGCCCGCAACCTCTCCTACACGCTCGTCCCGACTCTCCCGCGGGCAACGCTTCACCGTTTCCTGCGCGCATTCTGGATCACCATCGGCAGGGATTTCCACTCGCTGGACCGCTTGCGACTCGATAAATATCTATACCTGATCCGCTGCTACGTAGGCGTGGCATTCGAAATCTTCCTCAAGGGGAACAAGCGAGAGCAGCAGCAGTCCGCACACACCAACGGAGCCAGCAAAAAGCGCAAGCGAGAACAACAAGTCGCCGCGGCGGGCAAGAAGAAGCGCTCGAAAGCAGACAAGGAGGACGAATCCCGTGATGAAGTGGATGGTGAAGAGGGACAGGATGGCGAGGGCGACTGGGCCGAGCTCGAGTCGTATATCACCATCATCGAGGAGGGGCCTCTGTGTCCGCTCAATTTCGACACGGATCAGCCTCCTGCCGATGAGAAGAACCCAAACTATGTGCCTATGCCCCATGGACCGGACGGGCTTCGCTACCACCTGTTGGATATCTGGATTGATGAGATAGAAAAGGTGCTCGAATTCGAGGAGGGGGAGGCACAAGATGGGTTTTCGCGAAAAGTCAAGGGTCAGGTTCCCATGGATCTCCTACTACGTCCCGTTGAAAAGCTGCGCAAGGATAGTCCCTTCAAGCCTGTGAGGATAAGGGCCGCAGAAACCTTAAACGACGACCGATTGGTTCAGTGGGGATTCAAGACTAGGGAAGTCGAGGAAGAGGATGACGACGATGATAGTGAGCAGGAATGGGGTGGTTTCGCCGACGATTGAGCTCTCGACCGGTATAAGACACGAATTCATCAATTTCGCATTTCTCTATGGCGCATGTTCATGATGGATTTGTATGTCCAATTGACCTTGCTTGGAGCAAAGCGTCTTGCAGACTTTCATTATATCTATATCAATCTTTGCACAGCCAAAATCCACCAGTTCCTGCCTGACCTGGCCCACTATGTATACAGGGCAATGACCCCTGTCCGCAAGCCTTGCTGGCATATCACCTGCAGCAAAGCCACATCACAACATAAAGAGGGGAAAAGAAAAACTATATTAGTCTTGCGCGAGGGTATCATCTTGTGGTACAAAGACCGGGGAATAAAAATACGTGTACGAGCAAATGAATGAGGAAAGTTGCATCGACCTTAAACCTCGTAATCATGGCCGAGGGCCCTCGGCCTCGTAAAGGTGTCCAGACTTCGACAACACCGTGCCTAGACCACGATGAACTTCGACTTGGAACGGCTCAAAGGGTATACGTTCACCATCGACACTGATGTAGCCTTCTTTCTCACGGGGAGTAAGTCGATATGCCGAAGCTTTACGAATCTTAACACCCGGCATATCAAAAAATCCTCCCTTAGGGATCTCTGTCATCATCTTGAGCGATGTGAGGCGGCTGATGGTTCCATCAATTGTGACAACATCAATCAGACCGTCATTAGGCAGAGAGGCCGGAAAGAAGTTCGTGTCTGCGGAAACGATAGCCATGTTGCCCGCGTAGAAATTGCCCATGTTCTCACCTGGGACGACTTCCCAGTCCTGCGGGATCTCATCCAACACAGTGCCGTACTTCAAGTCGGGGAGCCCTCCCGATCCGGCGACGGTGTCTTCAGAGGGGTGGCGGGGAGGTTCCCCGGCCGCATATCTCCTGTAATGCTCCTTTATCGCGTTCTTGTCATCGATCTCCACTTTCACGGCTAGGTCACATGGCCACACTGTGCGCTGCATGAGACGGACCAAGAAACCGTAGGTGAAGCGGTGGGCACCCATCCACCGGATATTATCGGTTCCCAAGTCAGATTCTGCGATGATACCGAAAGATTGCGACAGGAAAGACAGGGTTCGAGATTTGCCCTGCGTGATGGAGACCAGGTCCATGGGGGTCCTTACCCCTTTGACAATCGCCAGCGCGGCAACAGAGACACTACCTGTGCCGCAAAGATTCCAAGCCATGGCGTTCCCGGAGCCGCCAGGTATCATGGCGACAGCGAGCTTAGATAGGGCCTCACGAGCGTTAGGTTTCTTGGCCAGACCATTGAAGACCTCGTAGGGCAATCCATCACCGGAGCAGCATACGATTGCATCGTATGCGTCTATATCAATCTGTTCCGCTATCTCTGTGGCGTGTCCCCCATGCGTTGTTTCTTCTACTTCCACTACGCAATGTGCAGCCGCAAGGATCGGCGCCGCGTATTGATGATACATTCGCGAGGCGATACCCTTCCCACCAAACGGGTTGATCAGTACCTTGAACCTTTTGTAGCGCTTTGCGTTACCGTACGCCAGATCAAGTAACCTGGCCGTGAATGCTTCGGCTTTTGCTTTGTCTTCGTCTGAAATAGTGTATTGCAAGGCACCAACTGTAACATCGTTCCTGGTCGCGGGGTCCGCATATGTAATAGTCAAACCTGCCGAGGAAATTTCCGCATGAAGGATGTTGTACAATGCGATAGACTGGGTTTCTTTGGTCTCTGTATTATACAGTCAAATTAGCCATGGTCCTCGTCAGATCGAACGATTGATTTCCCTTGGAATATCTTTGATTCAGATCGCAAGAGCAGCAAGCGCCTCTTGACAACCGAGACACACGATAAAAGCCGAAGAGATAGGAAAGCGAAGTAATGGAAAAACCTACTCGACTTTGACAGGAGCCCGCAGCAGCCGCGGTCCGGTTTGCGCATGGAGCGCTCGTCTGTAGAAGTACAAGAAGCTGGTTAGAAAATGCAATGTGCAACCATGCATGACCTGTAAGAATGGATCTTCCAACACTGCTCACCAACAATAACAAGCCCATCGCTCCCCAAAGTCAAGGTAATTGACTGTCCAACTGTCAAGGTCGAGTCATGTTGGAGTAACTGAGATTGGGAATCCGGCTGATCCGCATTGAAGGAAGGGCGAATAGCGCCGTCGGGAGAAGCCATTATTACCTGCAAAAGCACGTAACCATTCCAATAAGAATACAGAAACAACCAAAAGACAAGGCAATAATGATAATCAATATAAGAATAAAAATGGCAGGAACTTCTAGGAGGATGTTCGAGATTGAGGTAGAGTCAGATTTGACCTAGGTACTTATTCTTAGTAGTTATGGAGAGAAAGAGGTTAGTCCCAATAATTAGGGATTATTTTCTCCACCTCAGGAACAGCTTCCTTGAATGTTCATCTTCCCTTATCTGGTCATGTAGGCTCGGAAAGACGGAAATAACAGCCAGGATAGTAATCAGTCAAATTAAATGTCCTATATCTAGAGCTACTTGATGATGACACGTAGAAATTTCATGTATGACACAAGCTACCGAGGACAAATCTCACAGTCAAGTTTCGGAGTCGGTGGTTTGAAGTTGATGAACTGTGATTGTCTCCACTGATCTTTATCAGCCGACAGCCATACTACTATTATTATCGGTGTTATCGGATAGTTACTGGGCTGTCCATGCTCGTCCTTTTCCAAGTAACATCCATGAGTCACGCAGGACCACTCATGGAATGGGAAAAGTTCTTTTGTTGTTCCATCTGGATAGACCATTCTTTCATCTGGTACAATAAGAAAAATAAAAGTGGCATATAGTCAACAGATTTGTCCGTAAGAAGAGAACAGGAAGAGTAATCAAGAGCGAGGTAATATGGGTGACTATAATCATAGGGTAACAATTAATCAAACGCTGACACCAAGAAGTCATACTTTCTCTCTTCATGCCGCAGAAGCCTTCAGGCCCTTCAGCGATCCTAGGCTTAAAGCAAGACCCTGGGAACGGCTTCTTATCCGTACGAATCCTGTGATCGGGCCGTCTTCGCCCTCCTTCTCAATGCTCAGGTTTGCAAGTGCGTCCTCACCTGCAAACAAATTTCAAGGTCAGTGCTTGTCACACCAGAAAAAAGGATAGGAAACCATCTTGGTACTCACCAAATACGCTTCGGGCATACAGGTTGGCGCTCAGGAACCGGCAATCTCCCTTGAGTGAAGCTTCTGGAGTCAAGCAAGCCATGTTGGTGCTCTCCATGAGCTGTTTGAGGAACTCGCGAAGGCTCTTCGCCTTGGAGTTGATGTTGACCTTGTTCTCCCACTCGAACTCCGTCCACATCGTCCGGAATTGAGTCTCGGTGCAGTGAGCGGGTTGAATGTAATCCATGATATCTGCATGGATATCGTTAAGAATGACAACATGCGTTTCCGTCGAGCTCGCTCCATCATATACAATGTTGCCGAAGATGACGCCAGTATCCGTGGATGACACCTTGACTGTAGCCTGCACATTCAAAAAGTCACGAGGTCCGAGGTTGTGCGTGGTTGGTCGCTCAACGACCTTCAGATCGCCAAGAGTGGCAAACTCAACAGATAGGTTCTGCAAGGTCTCGAGAGTCTGGTTGACAAGGAGCACGTCAAGAACGATGTCAAATTGATGGACGGTGACATAAGCCTCGGCGTAGACTGGATCAGAAAAGCCGGTAAGCTGCACAACTCGGCTCAATTTCGAGGCCACAGTCTCCACGGTCGAATCGCCGCCAGTAGCCTTGGCCAGGTCGAGTTCCATTTCTTCTGCGCCCTCAAGGCCAGACTTCTTGGTGAATTGCCGGATGGGAATCGCATCGTCAATCTGAACAGCAGTCTTGGCCTTCTCAACAGCTTCCTTGGCAGCACGCTTCTTATCTTCCACCTGTACCATATCACGGAATGCTTTGCGTGTGTCTTCGAGGAAGGTAGTCTCTAGCTCCTTTCTTTGAGAGAACTCACTGAGGGAGCGCACGCAGCACATGATACGATCAACAGAATCTTCGTCAATGGGAGCCTTGACAAATTGGGACTGTCCGACGCGGATAATAGAAATCATGATCAACATCGCTTCAGCGCGCAGTGCGTTCGTCCGAGCAACATCCTGCGAGACTTCCGAGTGGCGCATTACAAGTTTCGTTAATGTCGAGGAGAGAACGGTTGCTAGGTAGTAGTCACCATCGAGGATCAACTGACGAAGAGGAGGCTTTTGAGCAGCCTTGACTGCCTCAAGTCTGGCGGCAGCAGCGGACTCGCTAGTCAAAGCACTCTCGGTGGCATACGTGCCATCGGCCAGCACCTTTCGAGAGCCAGTCGGAGCTGATGGCTTGGCATGGCCGTTGACTTGCTCTTTGAGTGCACTCTCATCGGGCACCTCGTCAAGAAGTCGCTGTTCAGAAGCCAAAATGGGGATCTCTCCAAGGCTTGCTCTGATCCGCTTCCAAGCCTCACGGATGTCTTTCTCCTCCAGGGAATACTCTCCGACAACCCACAGTACACCACGATAGACCTTTCCAGCACGGACTTCGCTCAAAGTAGAAACAAGGCGGTCAACGATAGAAGCGCGAAGCTTAGGGAATTTCTCCACAACTTCCTTCACAAATGAGATCACATCGACCGCTGAGTTATTGTTGAAGTCCGCAATGAAATCCATCAAAAGGTCGACGACGCTAGCAGCAATCTCGGAGAACTTGATGGCACAATGGTGTATCGACTGGATCACGAGCTGACGATATTCGCTGTTCTGCGTACGTTGTCAGCATTCGATCCTTGCCGCAGATCAAAGCATATTCCTACCTTCTCGTACTGCTCATCTACCGTCTTGCCCAGTTCCTTCTTCAGCAGCATGACGACCTCTTCAACATTCTTGCTCGAGACCATTTCCAAGGCGATACCGAGAGCTTTGCGCCGAACATCAATGTCAGGGCTGGAGAGAACACGAAGAATCTCCATGGTAAGATCATCCAAAACGCCCTCATTGCGACTTCTAAGCTGGTCAACTCTGTCAAGTACAATGAGCTTGACATTGTTGTCGGCTTCTTTGATGCAAAGCTCGATCAATTTGCTTGCCGCAGCTTTCACGGCTACTGGATTACTGGTAAGAGCTGTGAGCGACGTTGCCGCTTCGTATACCACTGTACTTGTCGATGCCTCTAGTAGATCAAAGATGAGACGCAAGTATTTTCCCTTTTATTTATTAGCGTCGCGTGCTGATGCATGGTTGACAACCGACCCACCTTGTTCTGAGTGTTCTGCACCGCATCCTTCCTGATGAACTCAAGCTCCGCCAATTGAAGTAATTCGTCTGTATTCGGAATGCTGTCAAAAGTGGTGGCCAGGTATTCAAGAGCCTTCTGGTGGCTGATGGACATCAGAGCAGCGAACGCATTGCGCTTGCAAGTACTATCCGTCTCCGACTCGAGGAATGTTTGAATCAGTTCTGGCGCGTCTGGGATGAGGGACTCCGAATGTTGGAAAATGGAAGCCACCGCCCAAACTGCATTTTTTCTCACATATGCGTGGCGATGTTCAAGGCATGAGCGTGCCGACGAGAGGAGGGGTTCGATGAGCTCCGGCTCACGGAGCTTACATAGAAAGCGGAGAGTGTTGCCTCGAATATATTCATTGGGATGCTGGAGGTCATTGCGAATACCATTGCTGCGCAGAAACGGATTAATTAGACTGGTAGGAGAGCCAAAGGCGGGCTGGCTTGTATCCTTACCACACCAAGATCATCTCCTGCTTGAGTTTACCATTGGCGTCGTGCTTCGGGCAGATTTCGTAGTAGAAGTAGAGTAACTTCTTGAGAGGCTTGCTCTTCGACGGCATGACAAAGCGAATGATGTGCATGAGGAGTTGGGACATCGGGTCGCCATTCAGCATGATTGTGATGATCCGCCTCATTGTTTCCATCTTCGTCTCATCATTGCCCTTCTCTAGTTGCAATTTCAGCTCCTGTACAGCTGGCTGATCAGCAGTATTGTCCAAATGGACCAAGCTGTAGGCATTTTCCAGAAATGACGCCATGGTGCCCGGGAATAGGGAGGCAGACGGCCGTAACGGAGTGTGGGAGGATAAGGAGGGAGGAGAGCCTGGGAGTTGATCAGTATGTTGTTGTTTTAGCAATCGAGAGGGACGAGGGAAAATACCAAGATTACTCTCCCGCAAACACGTAAGCAGAATGGTAGATGTTATTTGACTTAATTAAGCTCCCCTCACCTGCCTTGCATTCATCAGTGCGAATGTTTGGCAATCCGGGGTCTTGAGTATCAACTTGTCCATTTGCGCGGCGGAGCAAGCTGTCCGGACTGTGTGGATGACTAAGCCCCGCCTGGGCCAACCTTGCAAGGTACAAGACCGCCTTCGACCGATGCGATCTTGCTTTCAAATCGTCAGTCACGACATATTTGCTCTGAAACGCGCTCAAGATGTCAAACCAGAACGAACCTTTCTATCTTCGCTACTAGTAAGGCAGACCATTGCTCTATAGCCCAGATTTCCTCAGCTGCTGACAGCCCCGCAGCTCAGGTCACTCTGGGCGGTTTGGGCATGAGTTTCTAGGTCAGTGTGCATGAAGTTATTATTTTTGGTCTCTTGCAATCACTAACGGCTTGTAGAATTTGATTTTCGGACCCTTGGCGACGGCCGAAGTGCCGCGGTCCGGTATGCGAACAACTCCAACTATCGCAATGACTCCCTTATCCGCAAAGAAAGTGAGTGCTAGGATTCATGGTCTGGTGCTGAGGGTTACGTCCTCACTGATGGGATTAATAGTGTGCGTGAGCTCGGCGATGATTCAGGAGGTCAAGCGCATTATCAAAGAGAGCGAGATCATGAAGTATGCGGGTTACCATGGCAGTGACTTACAAGGAATCGTGGTCTTTGCTGATACAACTTAGGGAGGACGATTCGAAATGGCCACAGAAGAACAAGGATGGGCGGCAAGAGCTCGAGATCAGACTTGGAAACGAACATATCTCCTTTGAGGTGCGCTGAATCCCCGATACGGTGGTCTAAGCCAAGGTATAGCCAAGTTCTAACGTCCTTCAATTGCGCAGACCGCGAAAATCGGTTCGTTAGTAGATGTGACCGAATCTGCAGACCCTGAAGGTCTCCGAGTGTTCTACTACCTCGTTCAGGATTTGAAAGCCCTCATCTTTTCTCTCATATCCCTCCATTTCAAGGTAATTTCCAAAGATCTTTCGACCCTCCAGATGCTCTACTTACCCTCTCATCCCTACTGCAGATTAAGCCTATCTAAGTCATGATACGTATATCTGGTGGAATATGGTTTTGAAAATCGACATGGGCGTTTTCTTCGAGAATGAAAGGGTTTGCTATAATGATGAATCTCAAAATGATCTAGTCGCGGTGATGAGACTATGCGGCAATCTACCGATGTAGAGGAATGAAATAAAATACCCAGCTTAGGACTATGCACAAGGATCGGCTCAATTGAGACAAGCCTTGTAGGTATGAAGTTGTTCTACTTACAGTTCGAAAAATGGTATCAAGCACTGTCCAATGCGAGCGCATGCCATCTCGTCCCGAAAAGGCCTGGCCAGATGTTCTGGCCTCAGGCGCCAATTCGCCTCCCCCGCGCCCGCATGATCAGACTATCCCTTTCAGGCAGTGCGTCTTCCCGCTCAGACACCCGTCTGCGCTGCACCTTAAAGTAATCCTCCATCTTCCATTCAAACCTGCATTCTCTCTTCCTCTCTTGGCTGTCGCTGCTATTGTGGTTGTTGTGTGCCTGCTTCTTCTTCTTATCGTTCTCGTATACCCTGTGTGGGGGCCCTGCAAACTGATTAGATCCGATGTCATCCCGTCCTTAATTAGCCTCAATGCCGACACCGAGTGACAACACATCTCCTCTGAATGCTGCATCAATTACCGAGGAAATATCTACTCATACAACCTGTCCACCTGAAGTAGAGCGATTGTCTTCTTGGAGAGACTCTCCTGAGCCGTCCTCTGCCACGGAGAGCGATGTCCCCGACAATGCCTTGTCACCTGCCATTCCATCAGCGCACACCCTCTTGACGGCCCAACCAGATGGAACCATCAATCAGTCCAACACAGATGTCCTAGGAGTTGGGACGGGTCATATCGCTCCCACCAAAGGCATGATGAGATCCGATGACGAACTTGCATTGGGCAGATTGAGCCCTACAAGGGGAACAGCAAGCTCCGCAAAGCCATCGTCGACTGTTGCATCGCCATCGACTGCTTCACTTTTAAGTTATGAATTTACCAATGTTCGGGTTAGTGAGCCACTCTCTTGCGCCGTCATTATTGCTTTACTGACTGATGAAAGCTTCTTCCTAATTACACCTCTTCTTATCTTCGCCCTGGAAGCAAATTTACTGGTACACAACAGTCGGACCGTCAAGTGTACAACGTCGATGTGGAGATCAAACATGTCGATATGGCTGAATCTTACCTCTGCGGCTATCTTCGTATACAAGGTCCGTGAATTATTCCGTATGTAAACAACACTATAGCTAACCTTTCTCTTGCATCTGTAGGTCTCACCGAGGATCATCCCACTCTGACAACGTTCTTCGAAGGAGAAATCATCGGAACTAAGCACACGTTCAAGACCAGGAATGAAGCGTGGGGTGCAACAGAGAAGACCGACATGCACCATTGGGCCAGATTTCCTGCCTGGCGGCCTCTTGCCAAACAGGCGAAGAAGTCTGATTTCACCTACTGGAACTTCGCAGAGCGTGAACATATATTCATGCGATGGAAAGAGTATTTTCTCGTCCCTGATCATCGGGTGAGGACGATCTCAGGCGCGAGCTTCGAGGGCTTCTATTACATATGCTTCAACCAGATTGAAGGAAGTGTGACCGGTATCTACTTTCATGCGAAGAGTGAGAAGTACGTATCGATTAAGCTGCTAAACATTCTTGGATCCCAAGTACTGACGCATCTTGAATTCTCCGCAGGTACCAGCAGCTTGAACTGAAACACGTTGAAGACCATGGCTGCACTCCGGCAATGGAGTTCCGTTGATTCTCTTGATACCCGCCAACCCTTGCGTTGGTTTGTTCTGTTGCTTGCAGATTGCCAGGACCTTGCACCTGGATTCTCCGCCTACATTTCGGCCGCGACTCTTACTTTCTCTTCTTCCTGTTGTCATTGTCTATATTTATTTCCGGCTTTACCGGTTACGGTCACGCTATCTCCTTTCTCCGACGGGTCCTGAGATCCATCTTACCACTACCGATCCTTGACCGTCCACGATTTCTCTCACGATGTCTTCCCCAATTTGGCGTACGTTGGTTCACATGGTCTCTTTCGATTCTACTTTGACCTATTGTCTGTCATGTGTATTCATCATCTTTGTTCTGTGCTGCGATTCGCGGTCATCCAGCTGTCTCTGATGAACCTCATATTTTCTCTGATGTCTGTCCGCTTCATCTCCGGCTTCCTGGGAACATCATGAATGCAATCGATGTCTTTTTTTAGCTTGAAGCAGCTATTGAAGACTACGTGCTTGTCGCACATTCGGTGTCAGTAACTTCCCCGAGATCATCACATACTTGAACTCATTCAATAGTTGGTACCTTACTCATTACATGAGTCTTGTTCCAACATCGATTGCCAGTAGGATGGTGGATTAAGTCACGTATCACAAGCACCTTGCTCGTCATATAATACTGTGGCCACTGGGGTCTCGAGGGAGAAAATACGTAGGCTTTGGAAGCAAATCAGAATGCTTGTAATGATTACGGCCAATGCAAGCTCAAAGGACGTCGAAACAGCTCCATCGTATAATTGAGTACTGCTTAGATACATCCGAATAACTAGCTGACCTCAAGAAACCGCACAGCGCCTTGGCTAACGACTCCAACCTGGACAATAGGGC